CAACCTTCCTTCAGATATAGACAGGAGCATCAAGAATGTAGGCTTATCAAACAGCATAGTTATGAAACCGCCATACCCCACCTTACTCGGTAGCAATATTTTTGCGTCCTCCTGCAGGATTACTCTCAGTTCCTGCTCATGACCATCAAGTCAGGATGAAGCAATTTTGGGGATCTTGTGCTGCAATGGGAAAAACTGGACATAAATCATTATCATAAATGCTATCAGGCTTTTAATATTAAAATCTTCCACATTTAATGTCAGACACTACGCAAATGTAGCCAGCTGCTCTATGTTGATGTCTCCCAAGAATGCTGCTGGTAGCTCTTCCAGATCACCTGGATCATTGGATCTCCCAGTCCTCCTGAATAGCGAGGCCTCTATCATAATATCCATTAGAGTACTAATTCAGCTGGGCAAACATGGAAAGACAAATCCTCTAATGCACCCAATCTTAACCTGGAATACGAGAAACTGTATTTAAAGATCCTAAGATCATTGTGTGTATAGGATTGCAAGCGTTGTGCTGGAAAGTGCCCTCGAAGTGTGCTGCTCAGTATTGCGTACATTCTTACCTATCAGATAGCAGCAGCTTCACAGAGGGAAAATTTACTGTCAGTCCCTGGAAAAATATGACCAATCATTTCACATTTCACAGGTCTCTTCAAAGGCTCAATAGACCCTAGGTTTGCAGCATTATAGATAAAAGAGCCGTTGCAGGCACAATGGGCTGAATTGCTCCTTTCATACCGTAACACTCCTGTGATCACATTGCAAAATACCTTAAAAAAATTTCCTGTTTTGGGATATTTTCAACAGAGATGTTCAGGTCAGCAGCTTATATAAAATGCAATACATCTAAAAGTAGCTTTTTTATGCTTCAAATGTTAATGTCTTTAAATAAATCCTTGTTGGTTCTAAGCTTTAAAGGTTAAACACTTCCAAGCTCCTTTGTTTTTGTAGGTCAACTTTATGGGAATGTGGGAATGCAGCAGTTTATGAAAAAATGAAGCCATATGAGTTTGTAGAGTGTGCTGGTGCTGCAGAACTGTTACGTAGTTATTGAGAACCGAAAACATAGATTGAACAAGAGGCAGAAAACCCATATGAGTGTGCAATTTGGCTTGACAGTGATCTTTTATTTTTGGTTAGATTTCTTTTCAGCGTGCATCCTGTGCAAGTGCGATAGAGTTTGACCATCCAAAAATTCATAGCAGTGTTGCAAACAAAAACTCATGTCTTTCTTCTGCATTACCAGTGAACGAGTCAGTGATGCATTGGAGAAGCAAGACAATTAACTATATTGCAATTGGCAAAGTATGATGTAGAAAGTCCTGCATTAGTGATACAGAACCATCAGCCTCCATTGATCTTCTCATTGCACTTAGGTTTAATCAACTAATTATTCGTCTAGTATGCATTTATCCTGACAGAGTAGATGGCAAGGTTATTAAGAAAAATGAGCACGGCCCTTATATTGGATATTTATGTGCTTCTTTTGTGCTGAATTCTCTGGAAGAAAGTTGCATTTCATTAGCAACCATCAAAGGAAAGATGGATGAAAATGAATGGAAGTAGTGCTGCATATTGTAGATTAATAGTTGATCTCAGATTTTTTTCCTTAAAATTCAGTTGAGCTGTTCTGTCTTGCAGAGAAGAGATGAACGACATGAATTTACAAAGTACCTTTCAATATGTCTCAAAGTAGAGGGATGCAAGCCAATCAAACATTAAGAAATATTTAATGGAACATTAATTTATTGTCTTTAATCTGGCAGACCTGATCCACATTACCAGACCACTGTCATATTAAAACCACTTACATTTATATGGCACTTTTAATATATTTGGACATCCCAAAGTGCTTCACAGAAACTTAATACTTTATAAAAGACCAGAGCCCAAAATTCCTAAGAACAGAAAAAAGGTACCAGACTCTACACATCTGCCCCATTTCCATAGAACAACCCATACCCCTGTCTTTTCACTATCACTCAATCATTTTATTTTCCAGAAGCGCATGTTGAATTTATTTTTTGCTGTCCACTTAATTGTTTCCAAAATCCAAGGAGGCCACAGTGCATCTGGAACCTTGGATGAAAATTATCTGTCTAATGCTCCTTCTTGTTCATGGTTCCCTCTTTGTGTACCCTCAGTTACTTGAACCCATTGCCATTGTTAACAAGTTGTTTAGTTCAGTTTTGTTCTTTCATAGCCCTTAAAACTTAATTAGATCCACCTAAAATCTTCTAATTTTCAATCGAAAGCAAATCCACTTTTTTTAATTGTTCATAACTTCTGGGTACTCAAATCAACTTCATTATTTGCCTCTGAATCCTCTCAATCACAATAATATCTCCTAGAGCTGCTAATTCTGATATGACCAACGTATATGCTAATGCATAATTTGATCTTTATTTTGCAGTGTGCTATTTTCTAATTCCACAGGGACATAATTTGTGCTGAAATTATTAAGTTAATTGAAACATTCAATGTTCTTAATGCCTTTTTATTATTCACTGCTGGAACTTGCCTGTTGGATTCAAACAATAATGTACTACAACAGATAGAAAAAGCAAAAATATGCATGATTATGGAGAATTAGGTTAGATTTCAAGCCCACCAATCACACTAACCATTCCAGGATAGCACTACATCTGTATTTTCTATAATTCATGTTAATACTTTATAAAAGACCAGAGCCCAACATTCCTAAGAACAGAAGAAAGGTACCAGACTCTACACATCTGCCCCATTTCCATAGAACAACCCATACCCCTGTCTTTTCACTATCACTCAATCATTTGTTAATTATTTCTCACCCAACTCTTGATTATCACTTGTAAATTTGCAGTGATTACACATCTGTTAATCCTGCGAAACGAATGCCTTTGTGCATCGTCAACCTGAACTATATCAGTTCTGCATCTACCAAGACAACTCCAATTGACAGCAAAAGAAGCAGCTCAAAATTAAACAATACTGTAGGATGATTTTGAGCCTGTACTGCCAGATCTGGGATTGAATGATAGTCACAGACAGCTGAAGTTTTCATCTTGATGTCATTGTCATCTGAATCTATTGCTGAAGTGACTGCCTTTTAACAATGCCAAGATAACTATTATTATCTATTCTTATTGTAAAGATCCTAGTGTTTACCCCAGTGTTTTGTAAGCCTATATTCTTGAAATATTTCAGACATAATATTTTATTCTACCTCTTATATGGTCTTGTCAATAGTTACAACAGAGCTAAATGATAGGTAGATGTTAGTATTGAATTCAACAACATTTAGTACCATGTTCTAAAGTCAAAATGTCCTCAAACTCTACAATTCTTTTTTTAAGATAGCATGACCCATATCACTGAGGCAGCCTCAATCAAGTTAAGTTTTTCCTGACACAGCAGTGCAGGAACCCTTCATACCAGAGGGGTTAGAGTTGTTCATAGTTACAAATGGTAGTATGGCAAAAGAAAATAAAGATTTTTCTCTATTTCTGGTCATCAGTTTAAAATTCCATGTTTATCTTTTAACTCCAGCTTAAGCAATGGAGCCATGGACTTTTTCATTCATTTGATGTGATTGCTTGTCTCATCCCTGACAATCAATGTCATATAAATGTTGTATTGCAAGAAGATTTGAGTTCAGAAGTAGGGATGTCTTTCTACTGTTATATAGGACCTTGGTGAGACTGTATTCAGTGTATCTTGTGCATTTTTGGTCTCCTAACTTAACAGAGGATATAAATGCCATAAAGGGCATGTAGCGAAGGATAACTAGGCTAATATCACGTTGTCAGGACCGTTGTATGAGGAGAAATTGGTTTGACTGGGCCTATATTCTCTGGGGTTTGGAGAGAGGACCTGATTGAAGAACATTAAATTCTAACAGGGCTGGCCAGACTATACGCAGGGAGGATGTTTCCCTTGGTTAAGGAGACTAGAACAAGGGGCCAGAGTCTCATGATACAGGGTAGATCATTTAAGAATGAGATAAGGAAACATTTCTTTATTCAGAGGGTGGTCACCCTGTGGAATTCATTATCATAGAAGGCTGTGGAGGCCAGGTCATTGACTATATTCGAGAACGAGATTGCATTTTTTTTTAGATATTAAACACACCAAGGGGTATGGTCAGAAAGCAGAGATGTGGTGTCAAGTTAGAAGATCAGCCATGAACATATTGAATGGTGAAGCAAGCTTGATGGGCAGAATGGTCTACTCCTGTTCCAATTTTCTATGTTTCAAAATTGGAACCTGCAATGTCACTTTTCTTCCTCTGAATGTGACTGTGCCTCTGGGATTTATTTGTTCCAGCTGCAATCCAACACAGAACTGGGAAAAGGTCTCTTGGTCATGTTAGACAAGTATCAAAAGCCAATCGGAGTCAAGCCCCCAGAGACTGGAATTAGAAATGTTTAATTCAGGCTTGGGTGAAGCATTAATGATGGACGTTGGGCTAAATGGCCAGATTAAAGTAATTGCGTTACTCCCTCTGGTGGAGAAACATTCAGTCTGACAATAACTGGTCAATTCTCCCTCCAAGTCAGGTCTCAAAGGAAAATAAAAGAACATTTTGATCATTACTTTAAAGCACACTATTTTACCACCCAATATTATTGCTCGATATTTGTTTGCCCACAGGAAAGCATTGTACTTTAATCCTAAAATGCATATTTATGTATTTAAGCAGTTTAAAACTGAAAAGTATTGTCAGGCAGTTGACATGCGTGTATCAAATTTTGCTTATTAGATGAGATAACACGGTGTAGAGCTGGATGAACACAGCAGGCCAAGCAGCATCAGAGGAGCAGGAAAGCTGACGTTTCGGGTCTGGACCCTTCTTCGGAAAAGATGAATTATTAGATGAATAGTTTTAGCTTCATTGGTTGCAAAAACTTTGGAAAAATGTAGTTTGATGTACTATACAACAGTTCCACAATGAGATGTCAAAGCAGCTTGTGCTGATTTTTTCCCCTCTTTCTTTTGTTGTTTTCTAGGGTATCTGGAGCTGTATACACGGTGTTCCATACGAGGAAAAGAAAAAATCGCCCAACCTGGATTTGAACAGCCCTCAAACAAATATTCTGAGGCTGTTTAACACGGCAAAAACAATGGCCAATATGTCAAATCTGAATGCTTCAAGAGCAAACTCCCCGAAAAGAACTTCCAATTTCATTCAAAAAGGGTCTTTGCTGCTTGATGTGGTTGACCAAAAGGGAAATTTCCTGTACTCTGATAACAGGCCCTATCAACCCAAGGAGACTGGCTTCACTGATAACACCAGCGAAATGATGACATTTAATGTCAACAGGCAGAAAGATAACCGTAACAATTATATACTCCAAGGGCAGCATCCGTTGACTCTAAATGAAGCAAATCCCAACACTGTGGAGGTTGCAGTTAGCTCTGATACTCCTAAACTTAACTCCAGGCCTAGGCAGCTGTGGAAAAAATCTGTGGAAACGTTGCGGCAAAATCAGGGGTCGCTAGTAGAAAGTGTCAATGTAGAGCCCAAGCAACCCGTTAAAAACCAGAGGTACCTTCCAGAGGATGTTGTCCATTCAGACATGTCTGATTGTTCAAGCCGCACTACATCCTACAAGGATCCTGACAACAATCAGAAGTATCACAAACATAAAGAGACCTTCAAAAAGAAATCCATGATGGCCAAGTATCCTCGAGACTGCAGTGAAATAGAACTCTCTTATCTTAGAGCAAAGGAGAGCCAGCAACACCATCGTGACAAAGTCTACACCATTGATTCTGACCGGGAGTCCAGTTATCATTCGGATCAGCATCATTACCGAGAAAATGTAGCAATTCCAGAGGGTCTGGACTACCCTCAGGTGTATCATGATCAGAATGAGAATTACAGGAAACAGGAAGCAGTTCTGCACGTAAACAGGACTCCTCAGCATAATGAGGACAACCTTACCAATGCTGAAAATAAATACAGCCTCTATAATAAGCACTACAGCTTGAAGGAGAAAAATCTTTCCCCTGTCGATTACAATGATAGGTACAAGCAGCCCATCGCTCACTGCAGAAGCTGCCTCTCCAAACTGCCCAACTACACCCCTCACTACTCGGTCAGGTCTCCATATAACAGATGTGATGCTTGTGTACACACAGCAAACTTGTATGATATTAGTGAAGATCACATGTTACAAGAGCCAGTAAGCTCCATGTGCCCTGAAGAATCCTTTGTCCACCACTGGGTGGGTTCTGAAGCCTCGAACATGCAGAAAGTAAATAGGCTGAGGATTAGCAGACAGCATTCATTTGACAATATCCTTGAGAACCCTAAAGAAGTGGATCTTGGAAGACCTGCACGAAGTGTAAGCTTAAAAGAAAAGGACAAATTTCAGGATGACCCTTATGCACATGTATTCGATATTAAGCCAGAGAAACTCTTTAGCACCAAGGTTTCTGTTTTTGACCATAATCTGGAAGAGACCAAACGGAGTAAATCATTGTATCCAGACCATGTCTCTGAGAATCCATTTTGGCATTCCTTTCGTGAAGATCAGCATTTGGTCCACGGTCGAAGTTCTTCTGACATATATAAACAATCGGCTGCATCAAAGGCACGCAACGCTAATCACTTTAGATCATCTATTAGGTCGACAACATCATACTGCTCCAGAGATGGACAAGTTCCTAATGAAGTGTACATTTCAGAACATATTATGCCTTATGTATCACACAGAAATAGTATTTACTGTGCTCCCAGGGTTTTGAATTCTGCCAGCAATAGACGTGTGTACAGAAAAATGCCTAGTATTGAATCAGATGTTTGACTCATCATTTGTTTGTCTAATTCTACATAAATGCCATTCATTTGCTGTAGCTAGTGACGCACATAGTTGCCAACATTCTGACATAGGAACTTAGGAGACATTAAGGGGCAGCTTTGCCAGATAGTCGTTGCTAACATTCTCTTCTTTCTCCTATTTTCTGATAGATAGGGCTGACTGGCCTTTCCTACTATCTGATGGCAAAGGAGCAACAGAAAAGAGATACATGTTGATGATCATACCAACTGGTTAGCTTTGCTGCAGATGAAGACTACATAAAATGACCTAGTGGAATTTATGTCGCCCTTTTACTGTGCATTAATCTATAATAGACCACACTAGACAGGTCACAGAATCTTAGGAGAATTCTGGTTATGTAAAGTATGCAAGAAATAGATGACAAACTCAATATTGCTGTGTAAATGTAGGGAGTTGGCAACTATGCTATTATGTGTACTCCAGTTCTGTGTCTGCTGATATTTTTTAAATCAAATGTTTTCTAAAGTGAAACCCTGAGCTAAGCAGCTAATGGCAAACTTTATAAATTTCTGATATGGAATTGGGCCCCTAGAAGCCAGATCTTTTTCTGTTAGAAAATAACCGAAATCTTCTCTGCATGTTTCATACTATAGAGGTGATTGCTCCATTGTTCAAACTCATCTTTGATGCACTGACCTGTGAGGATATCAATAGATTAGAGTACAGTGAGGACTACACTATTGAATTAAACTGTATTGACTATCACACCATATACATCAGCATATTATTCCTTTAGTAGAAAATCTTACTGTCAAAATATTTTGACCCACATTCTGTATTGATACATCTGATAGTTTGTTCCAACCTTTATTGCTTATTTAAGTTTGTTTACCTGATGACATTGTAGACCAGCAGTCCAGTGGGGACACTAATAGATTACTCACTGGGAGCAACAAAAAATTTTGCTAATAAAATGCACGGCATGAAAGTTCAGGGATTTTGAGCTCCTGAAAATTATAGATCTTTTAACTCCCAGTAGTTATAACATGTAATATATAAACTGTTAGCTTGGGGATTCACTTCAAATGAATTGCTTAACTCTCCCCAGATTTGATAGACAGCAACACATGAATAGTGAAAGAGTCTGCTATTCCATCTCTTTGCAATATATTCCCATTGTATTATATATTTATCATGTAAGCTTGAAATTATTATTTTGACTATGGAAGCAGGGACATAGGATATGCCTGTTATCTGACAAGAAACATTAGGATGTCACCATTATAGAGAAAAAGGAATATAATTATTAAAGCTAGTGTAAGTAAGTATATTCAGTTAACTCTAGATTTCTACCAGTGCTGAATTTTGCTGCTTGATCAATTAAAATATGCCCACAGCTTTGAATAAGAGCCTCCATAACTACTAGTATTCTGTGGGAATTTTGTACATTGAAAGGGCTGGAACTTATGACTTCATGTACCAGTGAAATGCTTAAATTATAAATTGTCATTTGTCTCTTGAAAATATCCATTTAAGGCTTAAAGGTACCTGTATTTTTATGATATCTTTTTTTTTTCACAATATCATGTTGATAAAATCATTAAACAATTGTCAGATTGATTCTGTGAATTTAAAGATTGCTTAGATACTCCATGTAAATTATGAATCAGTAGCATATATAGTGAGCTAACATCTCAGCATATTGTTGTACAATTAGTCCCCATTTAATCGTGCAAACCAGGTGTTTTACTTTGAGAATTGCAACTAACTATAGCCCAAAAGACCACTCCTTTAAAATTCCCGTCAGTAATATCGTGCAATGTGTTCCTTAAACATGTGATAATTGCATGGATTATAAATGATCAGTCTTGCCCATTATCATAGGTCTTCAGGGAACCATTTCCAATCTGCCAGCAAATGTGGAAAAGGTCAGTCAAATTTATTGAGGGTGGAAATCCCAAGTTAAAGCCAAACTTAAACCTAACAAAGAAGTTAAAAATTGTTGATAATAAAGCAGAAAAAGCCCTATAGAAATAAAGTAATAATGGACTGCATCTTCTTAGCCATCAGAAATTCCTGTGGAAATGTGCCAAAGTCAATTAATCTTATTCACTGCCATTTAGTGGAGAAGTTATGGCATCCCACTAAATGGATAGTTTTGAGGACTTCAAAACTCAGTGAATGCAGAGTGTCTTTCTGCTCGTGATTGGGGTCAGGTTACATTGTGCATGCGATATAAGTGTGCTGATCATTGCAGCTGATCTGTGACATGATCAGAGCTGCATTATTTTGTGTTTCAAAGAATCAATGCTTCCTTTCCCAGAGCTTTCATTCCATTCATCTTTTGAAACCCTCAAAGACATTCAAGAGCGAAACAGGGAGGAAAAAAAATAAAAGTACCACATGACTGTCTACACTGCAAGGTTGTTAAACAATCCTTTGGTAGGAATTTGAAGCCAAACTAAATTTTCTGCTTAATTCCAATTGATTCTCAAGGCTTTTTCTATTACTCCAGATCCGTATAGCCTCAGAAAAATGAGCTGACTGAAGACATTTCCAACATTGCTTTGATGTGTTTGTAATGCAAAGTTACTTCCCACTTAGAACATAATTCAATTTCAAGCAATAATATAATTTCTATAGAAAATCAAAGTGGTAAGCTCCATTGAATCTCAACAACCATCTCCACTCCTGACAGGGGATCTTTTGAGCAAATTGAACTTGTACTGGAACCTGTAGCTTGTCAATCTATTTAATATGCACCCTACCAGCATCCACAGCATATGTATAGTTGCCGTTTATTAATGCGTGATGCATGAGTAAGCCATTTCCAATTGTTCAGGAATTACATCACTTTTGACCTGTAATCTAAGGTAGAGCCCAACTTTATGATCCCTACTTGACATTCTCATGAAAATCTGTCCAAATAGTAGCCTACTTAAATAGCTTTTACTCCTTCCTTACTTAATACTGTTTCAATACATGAACTATCCAATGTCAGTATTTTCTTTTCTCTGTTTCTAAGAAAAAATAATGAGAATGAAATCATTCATTTTCCTTTTGTAACTACTAATTTTTATAAATACTCTGCTTTTTAATTATATTTTTTGTTAGAGATTAACCTAGTGCAGAACAAACTGCTTACATTACTTAAGTGTATTTTGAACAGTTCTCAGACAACTGAACAGTTTAGCCTTCTGCCACAATGTGAGTGAATTAATTGCTGTGTTAAAATTAGAAAAGAATTTTGAGAAGCTTGATTATTTTACCATTCTCTGAACACTTTTTTTAATATAATGGAAGACACCAGTGATATTTGAGCTGTAATGAAAAGTTTTTTTTATTGTAGTAGTGTATGTGAAAAGTACTTAAAATATAAACAATAGCTCGCAGAACTGGTTAAACAAAGCCAAGGCAATGGTAATCAGTGCAGTTGTTCTTGTTACAAGACATTGTGCATTTCAACTGCACAAAGCAATTAGTAGTTTCTCATCCGTTTTCCATGTCCATTAATGCTGAACTTTTACCTTTATTTTATAGAGAAGCTATAATAATAGTTTGCCATATAAATTTAGGAAAATATTATTTGCATTTATTATTTCCCTTACATTATTAGACCCTACCTAGGGTTATTTCTAAGGTTAGAGGAGTAACATGATATTGTGGAAAACTCATCGATACATCATGTTTAATTCAGGTACAGCAGATACAAATTGTGGCTGGTATCATTTTAATCCCTGGACGGCAAACGTGAAAATTGGAAGCTGCATAACCCTAAGCCTAACATTACTTTTTAATACATGTATTTTGTTTGCTGGTTTATAAAACAAAACGTTTTGTGTTCTCCAGACAATAGTCCACCAGAACTATCAGTCATAACTTAATTTTTGAAATGATGTAAGTTTGAAGAGAATGACAGCAATGTAAGTTACACACACGGCAGGCTGCAATAGTTAGGGAATTGTAGAAACAAGGAACAAAATATGAAACTGAAGAGGAAAAACATAGATAAGTTAAGATATATATTTTGCAAGACAGTGTGAATTAAAAGCTAATAACCAAATTTTGGGGTCTGAAATGTTCTTTGGATGTGTGCATGTTGTCCTCAATCCATAAAGTATGTGTGATGCTTACCCAGTTTATAACTGTGTGCAACCCTAATGTAGAAACATTGGAATCCACATCCAGTCTTGCTTACCACCCCCTAAAAATTTCATTAGACTGTTGGTACTAAAGTAATTTGATTCCTGCCTATTCCTTCATTAGGTGAGAAAATACTAATTATTTCTTTGTGACAATATAGATTTCAGACATACCTGCATATTAAAGTCTGTATTTACATTTGTTTTGGTCTTTATATAAATTCAAATTGTAATATTTGCCAAGGTTGTCTTCAAAACTGTAATAAGTGTGTTTTTTTTCCTGTTGTAGATGTGTAGAAATTACAACTGGAATGGATATAGAATGTTCAAAGTGTTTCCACAACAGTATTTGATGTAAATAAGTTGTCAATTGTGCCAGGAAATCTGATGTAAAAATGTAAATAAGTAAAAGTATCACTTTTCTAAGGAAGACTATTTCTGCCACTTTATATCAAAATTAAAATTACAGTCACTTAACTTTCTTTAATACTGTGATTTCTTTCAAATGAACCTCTCTGCATTGATGGTCTCCTTTCTTAGTCTCTACATTGGAATCTTAAACACTTTAAGACTGTGAATCTTAGCAACTTAATTTCAGTAGTTTATTGAATTTCCAATGTTAGGAAACCACGGTGCTTTACATTTTTGTCACTGTCACTGATGATTTACTTAAAATTCCACATATTCCCATGTGTCTGGCTGTAAGAAGTAACAAATATGCACAACATGTCTGGTGACTGTCTACGCATAAAAAACTAATGATACTTGCCTACCAAGTGTTTATCAATTTAATGTTTTATTCCACACTTAAATGTGGAAATGCTTTCTGCTAGTGTTGCAAAATGATTGTGTTCTGTGTTAAAAAGGTCTGAGGATCATCGAATCAAGTACCATTGACAACTCAAATTTTTCCCATTGTACTGTCGGTAGTGCTTGATTAATGGGAAATTCTCATTTTTCAATAATCATTTTTGATCTTGGAGAGATCAGAGATGATAATCGCTGTAGAGCAAGAACCCAATTCAAGTGTTCAAAAATGATATCCTTTTGACAATCTTATTGAGAATTGGTAAAAGACCAGACACTGCAATAGAGACAATATTTACACAGAC